GGAGCTGGTGTCTTGAGACTCATACTGGGCGTGTGTGTGTGTGTGTGTGTGTGTGTGTATGTATGTTTGTGCGTGCCCAAGATCCCAAGAGGAGAAAAGGAGAAGGGATTGCGGTGTGGCCATCCCCTCTAGGAAGTGATTTCTCGCTTTCTGCCTCTGGTGAGCACACACGCCTTATAGCAAAAAAATCTCTCTCAAAAAAAAAAAGGATTTAGGAACAAGCATGCTTCTATATTTATTGTGAGCATGGTGTTGTAGGTTCTAAGGATAAAGCAGTAAATAAAAGGTTCTCTACTTCTGTGGAAATTACTTTCTAGAAAGGGACAGAGGAAGTAAGAGATTCAGCGTGTAGGTCGTGGTACGCGTGAGAGATTCGACGTGTGGGTCGTGGTACGCGTGAGAGATTCGACGTGTGGGTCGTGGTACGCGTGAGAGATTCGACGTGTGGGTCGTGGTACGCGTGAGAGATTCGACGTGTGGGTCGTGGTACGCGTGAGAGATTCGACGTGTGGGTCGTGGTACGCGTGAGAGATTCGACGTGTGGGTCGTGGTACGCGTGAGAGATTCGACGTGTGGGTCGTGGTACGCGTGAGAGATTCGACGTGTGGGTCGTGGTACGCGTGAGAGATTCGACGTGTGGGTCGTGGTACGCGTGAGAGATTCGACGTGTGGGTCGTGGTACGCGTGAGAGATTCGACGTGTGGGTCGTGGTACGCGTGAGAGATTCGACGTGTGGGTCGTGGTACGCGTGAGAGATTCGACGTGTGGGTCGTGGTACGCGTGAGAGATTCGACGTGTGGGTCGTGGTACGCGTGAGAGATTCGACGTGTGGGTCGTGGTACGCGTGAGAGATTCGACGTGTGGGTCGTGGTACGCGTGAGAGATTCGACGTGTGGGTCGTGGTACGCGTGAGAGATTCGACGTGTGGGTCGTGGTACGCGTGAGAGATTCGACGTGTGGGTCGTGGTACGCGTGAGAGATTCGACGTGTGGGTCGTGGTACGCGTGAGAGATTCGACGTGTGGGTCGTGGTACGCGTGAGAGATTCGACGTGTGGGTCGTGGTACGCGTGAGAGATTCGACGTGTGGGTCGTGGTACGCGTGAGAGATTCGACGTGTGGGTCGTGGTACGCGTGAGAGATTCGACGTGTGGGTCGTGGTACGCGTGAAGTGGAGGGATGAGAATTGTTGGGAGGGACTCGAGTTCTAGGTGGTGGCCAGGGATGATTTTCTGGAGAGACGGCGTTTGGTGAGAAGGAGTGTGGAAGTGAGTCATTTGGGTTCTGGAGGAGGGACAGTCCACGCAGAGGACACCGCCTTTGCCGAGGCCCTGGGGCAGACCTTAGCTAGGATATCCCGGAAACAGCACGGAGGCCTTCGCATCTGGAGCTGATTCTGAAAGAGAGGAGTTTGGTGTGAGGTCAGGGAGAGCCTCATGCTGCAGGGCCTGGTGGGCCCAGCCAGGCCTTTCCTCCGTGCCAGATGAGGAGCCCTTGGAGGGTCCGAGCAGTCAGAGCCTCCGCGGCGTCCTCGTCCTCGGGCGGCTGTGTAGGAACCGAGTGAGGAAGGGCACAGGCGGGGAAGTGGGGAGCAGAGAGGAGGCTCTGCAGGAGTAGGTCAGGAGACGGTGATGACCGAGTGGCCGCAGCAGAGGTGGGAGGGAGTGCTCAGGTGACCGAGTGCCTTCGGAAGGTTGAGCTGTGTTGTCTGCTGTCCTAGGCGTGAGTGTCAGGAAGGGGGCCGCTAGGCTGTTGGTCCACGCAGCTAGAGGCAGGGAGGTGCTGCTGCCCGCGGTGGGGAGGCTGGAGGAGGAGCAGGTGTCCTCACCCGCTCTTACCGGTGGCTCCTCTTCCAAGACTGGGGAAGACGGAGGCGGTGGCAGAAGGACGGGGAAGCCCGGGCTGGGCATGGAGCGCCTCCCTGTCCTGGCGGCACCCTCTTATTGCTGCTTGATTCTCGCAGTGTCCATGAGCAGAAATGCCCAGGCTGATCAGGCCTTTCCGGCCTCAGCTCCTCATCCACTGTCAGTGGTTGGATAAGAGCCCTCGGGTCTGGGCTTGTGGCCGGCCCAGGACTTGGCAGTGCCCTGGGGTGGAGGACACTCCTCATCCAGGACTGGGTGTGAGCGACAGTTCGTTCTCTCGCAGAGCCTGTGTCTTACCTGGCCCTCGTGTCTAGAGAGGTGAGTCCTCTCACGTCAGACTGTTCTCCATTGCCATGCACTTTGCCGTAATGCCTTAGCACTGGCCCCGAATAGGAATCCAGCAGTACAGTCATTTGCTCCGTAAACATCACACTCTCTTGTCGATGAAATACTTTGTGCATGGGGCTGGTGAGTGGTGTGGTGGTTAAGGCGCTGGACTCCCACATGGCAGACTATGGTTCAAGTCTTGGTCCTGACAGTTTGCCTTTTTTTTTTTTTGGAGAGGTTTTTGCTATAGGGTGCGTGCGCTCGCCAGACAGACAGAGAGAAACAGAGACAGAAAGCGAGAACTCACTCCCCAGGGGGGATGGTCACGCCACAATCCCTTCTCCTCCATTCTCCTCTCGGGATCTTGGGCACGCATGCACACGCGCCCGGCATGAGTTTTAAGCTACCAGGTCCGGGACACAAACCGGGGTCGAATACGTGAGAGTCCAGCGACATAGCCATTACGCTAACTGCTGGTTCCCGTGACAGTTTGCTTTCTCATTTCCCTCTCTCTGGTCAAATTTAAAAATAATAATAAAATAATTTGTTTTAAGAAAACTTTGTGCATGAGGTTTCTCAAAGTTTTGTTTTTAGTTTTGTTTCTTAATGTTAGTATGAAATGGTATTGATGCTTTTGAGTTTCATTTCTGTCTAGAAAATTCACCCAAACAAGAAGCTGGAATTAGCGAGGGCCAGGGAACAGCAGGGGAAGAAGAGGAGAAGAAGAAACAAAAGAGAGGTGAGACCTAAATCCACGTTTCGATTGGTGCAAACAGGACTTCCCTCTGACAGCAGAGGCCAGTAATTGAGAGGGCCCTTTAAGGGGGTGCACCTACTGTGACTGTAATGCCCCCCGCACAGTGTTCAGGGGGTGCAGAGTCTGTGCTCAGGAGGTGGCTGAACCTGGTCCGACCTGGGCTTTGCTGGTAAGTCGGTCCCAAAAGAAGGCACGCATCTGCCTCTTAAGTGTAAAGAGCAAGCAGGGAGCTGCAGTTCTTGTGCATTCCATCGAAGAGGAGGGCTGTAGGTTAAGATTTCCCTCTCCTCCCTGCTGTAGCTCGGTTGGAGACTATTTCACAGCTGCTGCGTCTGCTTGTCACTCTCCTTAAACTCTCCTCATGCGCTGGCTCCTTCCTCCACCTGTTTCTCCTTCATCAGATGTTCTCACTCGGCACTTTGCATCTTTTAAAGACCTTCTCCCAAGAGCTCGTGTCTCTTGTTAGCCATCCCTCCCCTAGCCTGACTTCTTTCCTAACTCCAGACTCACCGTCCCCTTTCTGGTCTGTTGACACTGGCCTGTTCCACCCTGACTTTATGCCCCGGATTCTCCTAGTAGGGTCAGCAGTGCTAATACTTGCCAGATAGTAAGAGCTTTGAGCAGAGAGCCGCACTCCCCGAGTTTCTGTGGCGTTCTTCCTGCTCTCCTGCCCTCCTCCCTCCTCAGTCTTCTCTGCAGACTCGCTCTGCCTCTGTCCTCTGAAAGCCGGTGTCTCCCAGGATTCTGTCCCAGTCCCACTTCCTCTCGTTCCGCTGTTCCTGGAGGAGCGTGTCACATCCTGAGTGCACTACGATACACTAGGCCTGCAAAACACTGGTGGAAAATGTGCGTTATGGAGAGTATGTATGAATTTCAGATTTTTTTTTGCACCACAATAAACTCATACTTCTTTTTCCTTATGAGAGATTTTTTGCTATAAAATGGACATAAAGTGAGAAAACACCCCCTAGGTCAGATGGCCATGTTGCAATCCCTTCTCCTCCTGGGATCTTGGGCACGCACACACACGTACCTGGCGTGATTTTAAGCCACCCCATCCAGGACTTGAACTACGGTCAACTACATGGGAGTCCAGCAACATAGCCATTATGCCTTCTGCTGGTCCCAACTCGTACTTTAATTCAATTTTTTCATAAACCCTTTGAAGTCTTCTCATGCACTTACGTTCCCACACTTGTCTCTGGACCTGACCTGTGTCCTAGACTGAAGGTACACATGGCCTGAAATTCAGCACTGCCCAGACTGAGTTGCCACGCCCCAGACCGATGACTTCATTTTCTCCGTTTGTTCATCAGGGTCGGAAACCTGACAACCACCTGAGGGTCTGTCTTTGCCCCTTTACTTGGTTCTACCCCTGGTGTCTCTGCCCCCTCCAGAGTCTCTGTCCTACACTTGCTGGCTGTCATGGCTGCCACTGCTTTGTTTTAGATTTTGATTCTTCTCTGCCCGAGCCCAAGCAGGAGCCCCAGTGGCTCTTCGGCCTGCCTTCCTCGTCAGGTCTACACTGCACACTGTAGTCAGAGTGATCTTGGTGAAACGAGGTTGCCCATCTCATCCCTGCTGGGCCTGCAGTGTCCTCTCTCCCACCTGTGTGGTCCAGCCACAGGGCTTACTGGCCAGTCCCGCGACGGCTAGTTTATATCTTTCGCTCTCCCTCTCCACAGGGCTTGCTGGCCAGTCCCGCGACGGCTAGTGTATACCTGCCGCTCCCCCTCAGCCGCGAGGTGTTGCAGTGTCCTCCATTAGGACAGGTGTCGTTCCCGAAGGCGGGTCCTCTGCTCTCCGTCCACGTCCCCGCGGCCTGGGGTGCCCTTTCTCATACCTCTCCAGCCTTCTGCCTACCCGGACACCTCCTCATTTCCAAGACCAGCTTAGTTGTCACTTCCTCTAGGAAGGCCCCTCAGAGCTGCACGGGCCATTCCTCTGCAGGACTCCGGCTGCCTTGTTCAGGCGGCCTGTTAGAGCAGATACCAGGCTGTGCATCTGCTAACTGAGCATTTCTGTCACTTCACGGGACTGGGTCCCTGGAGGGCTGGACCTCTGTTCTGTTCATCTTTGTGTCCTTGACCCTTAGTGTAGTGCTGGACATAATACAGGTCATTAAAAAATGTCGGGACCAGCAGTTAGCGTAATGGCTATGTCACTGGATTCCCACATAGTCGACCACGGTTCACGTCCTGGACCCAGTGGCTTAAAACTCACACTGGACGTGTGTGCGTGCGTGCCCAAGATCCTGAGAGGAGAATGGAGGAGAAGGGATTGTGGCGTGGCCATCCCCCCCCCGGGGGTGATTTCTCACTTTCTGTCTCTCTGTCTGTCTCTCTCTGTCAGCGCCGGTGCCTTAGGGCAAAAACCCCTAAAAAAAAAAAAAAATGTTTATCGAAGGGACCGGCAGGTGGCGTGGTGGTTAAGGTGCTAGAGTCCTGTATGACTGACTGCAGTTCAAGCCCCAGACCTGGCGGTTTGCTATCCCACTTTCCCTCTCTCTGCACATGCCCTACAGCAAGTTTTAAAAATAATAAAATGAATTTTGAAAACTGTTTATCAAGTGAATATATACATGTGTTTATTAATTTTGTATTAAAAGAAACGGAAAACCTTTTGAAAATGAAAATGTAAAGATTTCATATTCTGTAATTATGTTAAAAATAAATAATACTGAACTCTTTCTTAATAAAGGTGGAAGAGGTCAAATAAAACAAAAAAAGAAGACCGTACCGCAGAAGGTTACTATAGCCAAAATTCCCAGAGCAAAGAAGAAATACGTAACCAGAGTGTGTGGCCTTGCAACTTTCGGTGAGTTTCAGTATTTTTAAAATGCACAAACTGGATTCCCCATCCCCACCCCCACCTCTTTTTAAACTCTGGTATCATGAAAACTTCACAGGTCTATTTTTTGCTAAGAAGATTCAAAATGAGGCTTTGCACGTCTATTGCTTCAATATCAGATTTTGGAGAGGGGCTGGGTATAGCTTTTTTCTTGCTGGATTTCCTGCATGGGTACAGTGCATGTGGTCAAGGAGGGCTCTCTATGGGATCCTCCTGTATGGAGCTGCTGCTGCTCTGTCCTCTGCAGGCTTGGCCCAGCACTAGAGAATGGACCGTCCCCTCCGGGGATGACAGGAGAGCGTGAGGGGAGGCAGCAGCATGTCTTGCACCCTTTGCTTCCTGGAGGCCTCAAATGAATAGTGCAGCTGGAGTGGGAATGTAAACCCAAGGCCTCTTCCTGTGACAGCCCAGGTGGAAAGACAGCCACTGCTTTTGTAAAAGGAACTTAAACGGGCCAGCAAGTGGCGTGGCGGTAAAGGTGCTGGACTCCCACGTGGCCAGCCGCTGTTCGAGGTTGGGACCTGGTGGCTTGACTCCATGGGGTGCGTGTGCATATATGCCCAAAATCCCAAGAGGAGAATGGAGAAGGACCATGGCATGGCCACCCCTCCGGAGGGTGATTTCTCACTTTCTCTCTCTCTTTCTCTCTGGTGGGCACATGCACCCTATGGCAAAAAAGAAAAAAAAAAAAAAAAAAAGAACATAAAAAAAAAAACAAGAACTTGATTTCAGGACCAGCAGGTGACATGGTGGTTAAGGCGCTGGGCACACCCACATAGCTGATCACGGTTCGAGTCCCATACCTGGCGGCTTGCTTCCTCTCTCTCTCTCTCTCTCTGGTCAAATTAAAATAAAATGAATGAATAAATAAATTAAATGAAAATTCTTTAAAAAAATAAAAAAAACACTTAATTCCTTCTTGCAAGGGTATGTGTAATTCCAGTTGGAACGTTAAGCCCTCTGCCAGTGGTAGTTTGTAATTGCTGTTCTGAGAGGAGTACAAATCCCGTCAACACAGTGTATCTTACGAATTTAAAATGCAGATTAAATTTCAAAATGGAAAAAATAACTTGATGCGCAATTCCAATTATAATTTTACTCTTCTTTTTTTTTTTTAAAAAAAAAAAAAAACAGAAATTGATCTTAAAGAAGCACAAAGATTTTTCGCTCAGAAATTCTCCTGTGGTGCCTCAGTAACGGGGGAGGATGAGATCATCATTCAGGGAGACTTCACAGATGACATCATCGACGTCATTCAGGAGAAGTGGCCAGAGGTGAGCCCCTGGAGCGCTGGCGTTCAGAGGCAGCTTTTAACGGCGCTCCTCCGCCACCTCACCTGAACCACAGCCCATCAAATGTCATTATTTGTGTTTTGTAGGTGGATGATGACAGCATCGAGGATCTCGGAGAAGTGAAGAAGTGATTTTGGAAACTTGTCTGTATTTAATGATCTGAACTGAGAGTTGATATGGCCAGAGGAGAGAGGCCTTTTAAAAATATATATATTTATGCTACAGTAAAACTGTAGACCGCCCTCGTCCTTGGCAGTCACTGTTCTGTATAAGGCTGCTTGTTTTTTTATTGCCAAAGTTTAATGAACAGGGGAGACTATCATGCTTATGCATGAAATAGAACTTAGTCAAATAAACGTTGGTCATTTGGTACTGACTGTTCTCTCTCTCTTTCTAACATTTCATTTCTGGAAAAATACCACAGGCTCTTTGTGGGAAGAGTCTGCGTTGATTATCTTCCTGACGTAAAGCTGAGTGATTTACAGAAGGATCTGAACCCGGCTTCCTCGCCGGTGCTGCCTCCTCGCTCCTTTGGTGGGAGTTGAGCAGCTTTGTGGCTGAGCTTGGTTCATTGTTACCAACGAAGTCCACTCGGTGAGCACAGTGATATCGGTGGTGGTGGTGGTTGAAGGTATTGCGCAGGTTAGTTGGTGAAGTTCACTAAAGCCTTAGAACTGCGAGATCCATCTGACCCAGTCAGGCACTTCTTTGACCTCACCCCAAAGTGTAGCCAGTCTTGCAAAAAGGACAGGTAAGGGTGAGCAGCATGTTACAGTATTCACAGTTATCGAGAAGCAGCAGATGTTACAGGCGGTGGGGAAGTGTCGAAGGAGTGATGGTGCATGCGCGCTCGAGTACCATGCCCGTGTTTAAAGAGCACGTGGAATTCCAGGAACGTGGAATCGGATTTGGTGAGCGAGTGGGGCAGACCCCAGGCCCATTTCAGACGCTGACCGTCACCGTCGCTCCGAGTGGAAGGCCGTTCAGAGAGGCTGGAGGTTCTCATTCTGGCTGATTCTGTTAACCAGTTAGAAAAAGTAGGGCACGCCTGTGCTCGTACGTAGCTGGATAGGCAGCGTGTCTGTGTCACGGGAGAAACTGGTGACTTTGGTGACTACGCGAGGTGAATTCAAACTTCCTTGTAAGTCAGTGCTGCAAATCGACAAGAACCGTGGTATTTTAAACTGCTATAGACAGCTTTAAGGAACGTAGAACCCACGAAAGTGTTGGTTCCTGCCTTGCAAGTTACAATCTTGAATGTTTTTTAAAAATAAAATCTGAAGAGAAAATGTGTAAAAGATAACATTTTTAAAATGAGTTTCCGCATTACTTGAATTTTACTAAATAATTATCGAGTGGAGCAAATTTATCCCTCAGAACATGTGACGTGTTATTCTGTGGCTGCCGAAGATGCCCGTGTGCCTGTGTTGAGGTGGGTGACTTCATGTAAAGGTCTTTCATGTTCACAGTTTCAACCCGCAGAGCCAGCCGTGGGTGCTGCTGCAGGAAACTGCAGGATTAAAACTGTCTTTGGGTCTAACATGTGTGAATCTTTTTCTTTGACCTGAATTTTAAAACGCAGCGTAGTTTAAACTCTGATTAAAGAGAGCTAATAGTTCGAGGATTTAAGTCACGCTCTCACAAGGTAATATTCTTTATAAATGAGCTTTCGAGCACCTTATCTCCATGTGTAAGTTGCCACTATGATTAAGCTGCAACTTCAAATGTAAATATGGTTTCAATATGTAGAATTTTATTATTATTTTTAAAATAGATGCCGGGACTAATAGATAGCGTAATGGTTATTATGCCACTGGACTCCCACATGGCCGACCATGGTTTGAGTCCTGGACTAGGCAGCTCGAAACTCAACACCGGGCACATGTGCATGCATGCCCAAATCCTGAGAGGAGAGTGGAGGAGAGGGGATTGCAGCTTGGCCATCCCCCCTGGGGGGTGATTTCTGTCTCCGGCAAGTGCATGTGTCCTACGGCAAAAATCTCTCTAAAAATTTTTTTAAAAGATGCTAACAAGTGATTTTAAACTCCTTTTCAGTTATTACATGAAAGCCTCAGCAGGCCAGCTGCTGCTGAAAGTATAACCCTGTGGTAGCTTTGTGGACAGTTCCTAAGAAAATAAGTAAGCCTGCTCAGGTTAATGAAAAGGGCCCAAGACTAGCCTTCCCTAGGGAAATAAATAACCTCAGGCTAGTGGAGGGGCCCAGGATAAACCCACAGATAAGCTCTGACAGCGACCTCCCACCTGCTGCCACCTCTAGCAGTCGCCTGTGGCTGGTGAAGCCTTACGTTCCTGAGAGGCAGCCAGAGTTAGCCTCACCTCCCCAGGATCAACTGATTCCCTCCCTGCCATGCGCTGCAAACCTGCTCAGGCCTCGCCCTGGGCATTTCTGCCGGAGCTCTAATAAACCTAAACCTAATCGCTCGCATTTCTGCCTCTGGTAAATTCCTCTGCCACACTGCCCCTCTGCTCTTTCAGTGTTAACAGTTGATAAATTACTATTTTAAACACAAAGTACATCTTTTAGACCCTCTACATTATTTACTAAAGTCTTTGTTATCTGACTGCCAGGGTGTGCACCTCCCCAGTGGGAGAGGGAGAAAGCACCCGCAGTCACCTCGTTCATTCGTCCCGGCGGAACTTGAGGCATGCACACGCACACGCACGCGCACGCCTGGGACTGATATGAATTCAGCCGTGTTGGATTCAGCTACCTTAATCACTAGACCACGAGGCCTGTGCAACTTACTCAATTATTTTACTTAAGAAATCAGGTAGACTGGACTCAGAACTTCGGCTTGGATTAGCCTGTGAGTAAAATCGGATGCAGCATAATTCCTGTAGCTTTTACCTTTATGTCTTTTTTTTTTTTTTTTTTGGAGAGATTTTCACTGTAGGGCGCGTGCGCTCGCCAGACAGACAGAGAGAGACATAGAGACAGAAAGCGAGAAATCACCCCCCCAGGGGGGATGGTCACGCCGCAATCCCTTCTCCTCCATTCTCCTCTCGGGATCTTGGGCACGCACGCACACGCGCCCGGCGTGAGTTTTAAGCCACCGGGTCCGGGACACGAACCGCGGTCGACTACGTGGGAGTCCAGCGACATAGCCATTACGCTAACTGCTGGTTCCCACCTTTATGTCATTTTTAAAATGATATATATGTGTATATATTTTAAGGTTTTTGCAATAGGGTCCATGCATTTGCCATCCCACTCCCCTGGGGTGGTGGCCACACTGCAATCCCTTCTCCATTTGGGGCACACAAATACTTGCACCTTGGGTGAGTTTCAAACCACCAGGCCCAGTCCTTGAACAGCAGTCAGCCATGTGGGAGTCCAGTGCCTTAACCACTGCGCCACCTGCTGGCTCTTACATATTCATATATTTAAAACATTGCCAGCAGGCGCTTGCACTCACCTGAGAGGCGGAGAAAGAGGGACACAGAAAATAACATGGGATGGTCACACTGCGTCCCCTCTCCACACGCCTCAGGATTTGGGGCATACACTGCTTTCTCCTGTTGTGTCTGCCTGTCTTAGGTCAAATTAAAATGAATGAATAAATTTTTAAAATAGCAAATCTGAGCAGCATGTGAAGTAGGAGAGGCTCCAATTCAGTTCACATTCAGCTCATGCTTTCCCCCCCTCCAAAATCCATTAGTTATTATTTTTAAAAATTTAATTATTTATTTTAATTCGACCAGAGAGAGGTGAGAAAGCAAGCTGCCAGGTCCAGGACTCACACTGCAAGAGGCCATGCGGGAGCCCAGCGCCCTTACACCAGGCCACCTGCCGGCCCCTGCTCGGCCGCTGTGTGCGCACCCAGCCCCTGACGGGCTGCTCCAGCTACTAATGCGGAGACGCCGTCTTGACTCCAAGGTCCACGACCGTGGCTGGGTTCTGAAAAACGGCCCACACTAAGGAGCTATCAGTCCAATGGGAAGCTCACATGGGAGTCCCCGTTGTCCTTTATGAACACACGAGCACGTTTTATTCAGCACCAACAGGTACGGCGTGCTGCTTCCTGGCCAGCTGCGCCCGCGGCTTCGCCGGGGGTCGCCAGGCATCGGAAACAAGGGCGACGACGGTGCGGGTGGGGCAGCACGTGGAAAGGGCCGGCCTGGATGCGGACGAGGGCAGGCTTGGCGAGGCCCCGCGTCACTGCCCGTCCGCGCTCCGGGCGCCAGCTCGCCCACGGCAGGGCAGCGGGCGGCACAGG